AAATAACAGGTAGAAAGAGTACTGACAACCTCAGGCAGCTTCTTCCCAGCCAGGAGACTTAATGAGAACGCATATGCCAGAGCATTTTGTAAATCAAGTGGAACGTTGAAGTGTTAAGACAAAAAACACAGGTGCCCCTGTAGCATGACAGGGTGACAATAGGAGGGCCAGTGTGGTTTCAGAGAAATAACGGATGGGGCGATTTTCTTACTATATCTATTACTTCAGAACCAAAACAAACCTTCAAACTATTTTCATGAATATTCTGAGACCAAGAAAACCATCAGGGAGTGGGTAGTCTGGAAGCGTAAATTTCTGTGGTTCTCCACTAATGAGGGAGGCATGGGACAGAATATTTCATATTGAAATGTTTTTGTAAATGTGGGTTTCAGGGTTTAAAAATGAACCCAAATGTGTTAAGGAAACTGACAAATCAGAGAAGTTTTAAGAAAAGCAAAAACGGGTCAATATAAAAAGAAAGTTGAGTACTGCCCGGAGAAAGGACAAGTTCTAATGTGGACCAAATGAAGCAAAAAGGTGAGATGTAATAGTAAAATATTCAGACCTGCACTGCCAAATACAATAGCCACATATGGCTACTTGTAGTTAATTAAAATCACATAAAATGTAAAGGCTGATTCCCAGCCACCTTGGTGCATTTCAGGTGCTCAGCAGCCATGTGTGGCCAGTAGCTACTGCAAAGAACAGCTGTTCAGAACAAGCAATCCCGTCACTGCAGAAAGTTCTGCCGGCCAGTGCTGATGTAGATATTTTCTAAATCTCTTAGAATAAATAGCATATAATTGATAATTTGATTGCTACTCAGTAGCAGCCTAAGTTAGATAAAAAGTGGTGTCATTCTCTTTAACACTGAATTCTGACAAGAATACTGCTTGGAAGAAAGCGATGTAGATATTTTCTAAATCTCTTAGAATAAATAGCATATAGTTGATAATTTGATTGCTACTCAGTAGCAGCCTAAGTTAAATAAAAAGTGGTGTCATTCTCTTTAACACTGAATTCTGACAAGAATACTGCTTGGAAGAAAGACAGGAGCTACAGAGAAAGTATCCTGGTCATCCTGAAACAGGAAGGGGGATGCTGGCATAGCTCTGTCCCTGGAATTCTATAGCAAGGGGATGTACAGCGGAAAGTGACAGAGAAAGGAAAGGTCCTTGGTGTGCAAATGTCACAATGCGGCTCTCAGAGATCATGAGAAACTAAAGGAATAATGAGCCAAAGTGGCCTGAGAGGGACGCTGCTGAGTTAGATACATATGAGAATATGTGTATGTGATATGCACATATTCACACGACAGGATGGCACTTAACTCGTTTGGTCATACTTTCATCTAACAAATTTTGTTGAGAGCCTATTGTGCCCAAGACACAAGAATGTTAGGAACCCTAGCACCTACAGAGAGCTAGCGTTGAGATAAGTTATAGGAAAACAAAGGGCATTTTCTGATTAGCTCAGGGAAATTAGACCAAAGGAAAGACTGGCCCAATATTTGGATAAGTGATGCAATTACTGTTAATATGGGGAGGAAAGGGTGTTATCTCAGTTAATTTCTTGACTCCTGGGAAGCTTAGAACAGACCTGGTTGGGAGGAAAGTGAATCCAAGACAGGTGAGCAGATAGTGGCACCTTGATACTTTAAATGATTGAATCAGCAGCACTGGGGCAGGAGATGCCCTGCCTCTCTGTTAGCAGACAGTGGTCTTCACCACTGCTGGCCATAGGACTCGGGCAGCAACACCCCCACCTCTGGGTGGTTCAGGCACAGGACAGTGGAGAGGATTTGTGGAAGGCAAGGCCAACCCCAGGAGCACAGCCCAGGAGCTGACATGATTCAGAGCCTGAGTGAGGTTCCCTATACATCAGGGTTGAGGTAAACGAAGGGACTGAAGCGTAGTTTGTGAGCGTGTCAGGCCAGTATCTCTGTCCTTCTATACTCATCCCTTTGTACATTCATATGGGTATATGTGGGGAGTGTTTTTTTCTTTGACCTTAATGTCCTTATAACTAATCTCCCTTTTAAGATCAACCTCGCTGCCGCTGAGATGATGTAGGAAAAGCACAGGAAGATCTGGGCTTGAATCTCCTCTTATTGCCTTTGACCTTCGGCACGTTACTTAACTTCTCTGAGCCACGGTCTTCTCATCAGTAAGATATGGACCACGGTGCCTTGGCATGATGACGATTAAACAAAATAACATACTTAAACCCGAGGGTGGATTCCAGCTCTTTGTAAGCTTCCAATAAGTGCTGGAAGGGACTGAAGCGTAGTTTGTGAGCGTGTCAGGCCAGTATCTCTGTCCTTCTATACTCATCCCTTTGTACATTTATATGGGTATATGTGGGGAGTGTTTTTTTCTTTGACCTTAATGTCCTTATAACTAATCTCCCTTTTAAGATCAACCTCGCTGCCGCTGAGATGATGTAGGAAAAGCACAGGAAGATCTGGGCTTGAATCTCCTCTTATTGCCTGTTTGACCTTCGGCACGTTACTTAACTTCTCTGAGCCACGGTCTTCTCATCAGTAAGATATGGACCACGGTGCNATATGGGTATATGTGGGGAGTGTTTTTTTCTTTGACCTTAATGTCCTTATAACTAATCTCCCTTTTAAGATCAACCTCGCTGCCGCTGAGATGATGTAGGAAAAGCACAGGAAGATCTGGGCTTGAATCTCCTCTTATTGCCTGTTTGACCTTCGGCACGTTACTTAACTTCTCTGAGCCACGGTCTTCTCATCAGTAAGATATGGACCACGGTGCCTTGGCATGATGACGATTAAACAAAATAACATACTTAAACCCGAGGGTGGATTCCAGCTCTTTGTAAGCTTCCAATAAGTGCTTCCTCCCTTGGATCAAAGTGTTGGATGATGTCGCCTGTGGCGTTCCAGGTTGGAGACGGGGCCAGCGGTGTCACTGTCGGGAGAGGGAGGCTGGGGCCGGCCGCAGTCGCTCAGACGTTTCTTGCTGAGGTTTCCCTGTACTGGAAAACTTCCAAATTGGGTCTCAAAATCGTCATCGATGATGCCGGCAGAGTT